TATGATTTTACTTACATGTGGAAGATAAACACATGGCTAAGGAGAACAGATTAGTGGTTACCAGAGGGGAAGGGGGTGGGGGAGGGCAAAAGGGGTAAAGGGACACATATATATGGTGATGGATAAAAACTAAACTATTGGTGGTGAACGTGATGCAGTCTATAAAGAAACTGATATATAATGATGTACACCTGAAATTACACAACGTTATAAGGCAATATGACCTGAACAGAATAGTTAAAAAAAAAGATGGCATTATTTTACAAATTGCTTTTTTAAGAATCATATAGCAGGACAGCATTTTCAGAGAATTTTATTTAAATCATCCCCTAAAGCCTTTCTATGATCTAAGAAGACAAGTGAGATTATTTTAAATTAAATGTCTGTTTTTGCATTCTGTGCCTTCATATTCGGGAGTAGTCCGCTTGGGACTGCTGATCTTCTGCCCAGCGCTCTGGCTGTGCCTCCTCTGCCTCCCACAGGAGCCCCTTGGGTTAGCTTGTGCACTTTTTGGCCTCTCTGCCACCCTGAGGGCTCTTTGAGGTCAAAATCCCACCTTTCTCAAGTTGGTGTCCCCAGGGCTCAGGGCCCGGCCCCTGAAGGAGGTGTTGTGGATAATGTGGGGAAGAGGGGGCAGCTGCAGCTCTAAAACAGCATTGCTCGTGCCGGTGTTAATGCTCGTGTGTGATTAAGGGATACAGGTAATACATAGAGTCTAGTCAAATATCAGACGAAACAGGTTGGTTTAAATTCCTTTATTTTTAATAATGTGTTTGGCGTAAATGTCGCCTTAGAGAGAACCACAGTAGCCCTGACTGTCCTGGCTCCAGGGCCCATCAGTCCTGCCTGGCCAGGAGGGGGTTGTGTGCCCTGCACGGGACACCCGCCCCTCCTGTCGCTGCTTGTGGAGCGTCTGCACGGCTTGGGTAGGAAAGAGCTGAGCCCAAATTCCCGAGGCCCTGGGGCCCGAGAGCCCTGCTCCTGCCGTGTCCGCTGCAGCATTGCTCTTTAGGCCCACCCTCCGCTCATCGACAGCTGAGTACTGCCTCTTCTCTTTTTACCTGTGGTTTTATCGGTTTTACCCTTTGAATCGTATTTCTTCCTTTGAACCCTGGGATTTCCTGGAATTCTTCAGCTTCTGTGGTTTCCTCTCATCTGTGATCTTAGCTGGCGAGTCTTCCCGTAGGATGGCTGTCCTGGCCTCTCCCCTGTGACTTGGCGTGGCCCACGTTTAGGGAGCTAAGTCCTGCCCAGCGTAGGCTCCGGGGCTGCCGACATGAACACTAGACTCCTCAGGCTGCTGCACAAGGGCTTCCTTGTGGGTCCCTGTTCAGGTGTCCACCCCTCCCATCTCCCTCCTTGCTTGCCCCATGGCACCTGCGGGGGCGGCGGGCTCTGGTGGGAGGTGTGTACCTTTGGAGTCAGATGGTCTTGAGTTAAACTCTGTCACGGCTGTTCGCCATTTCAGATTCTTGACTCTGAGGACTCCTTCCCACCCCACAGTGTTGAGTCTCCTGGGTCCTTACGGCAGATGGTTTAGTAGGTTCGCATCTAACTGAGGGAACCTGTGCTAAATGTGCTGATTTTCTCATGGTTTCTTCCAGGCCACACCTCCAGGAACCACGAGCACCCCGTCTCCTGTGGGCACTCCCTGAGGGGCGTTTTCTGCTCTTGGGGCCTGTCCCTCAGCTTTGACTCTCTGATCACAGCCCGGGGCCTTCCAGAGTGTTCTGTGCCTTCTCTCACGTCAGATGCTTTCTCTGGCAGGATCGATATTTATCTCATTCTGACAATATTGGGTCATTCCGATTGTCTTGACTTTTCAAAGACAAATTGGCATAGGGGTTCTCTGAGTTAAATGCCATTACTTCATTACTTGGAAGAGTAACAAAATGTCCATTGTGAGAAATGACACTTAGAACAGGCTGCCACATTTCCTCGGATAAAATAATAAGCCAGCTGAACAGATCAAGAAAAGTCATTTGGCTTCTGCCCGTCTGGCGCAGCAGCCTGCCTCCTGCGGGCCCGGCTGTGTGGGCCCGGCTGCCTCTGTGAACCGGGAGGGGGGCTTCAGGCCCCTGTTGACTTTTATTCCAGCTGAGGAAGTAGCTCGATGCTTTGAAGGCCCTTGAAAGAGAGAACACGTTGATGGAAGTGTCTCCAAAGAAGTCCTCTGATTATCGTTGTTGACTCAGTTCCCTGAGATTGGAAAATGAAATCACATCTGCTCTAGGGTGGTGGGATGTTGAACTGATTCTGTCGAAGCTGTTTTCCAGCGAGGTAGTCCCCGCTGTGATGAGGCCACTTAACACTCTTGTCTTTGAACTTGATCTTGCAGCTGGAAAGGCGTTAGGATGGGCGGGACCTGGCACTGGGGGCAGGCCCTACAGCACACATTAATGAGCCTCCCGGAGACTTAGTTTCCTTGTCTGTGAACTGGCAGAAATAACACCTGCTGCCTAGGCTGCTCATAGAAATCCGGAGCCAGTGTCTTCCTGCAGAGTCATGGTGGGGGCTCGTCAGAGGGTGCGCTCAGGTCAGACGTTGGCCTCCTGGGACAGCAGAGTTCTGAGGCCAGGCGCCTTGCTGGGCCAGGCCAGTGGGCAGAGCGGGTGCCTGAGGGTGGGAGGGATAGCCCGCAGCCCTGAAGGGCATCTTGGAGGGTGCACATGTCACAGGCGTGCTCAGGCTGAGAGGAGGGATCTCAGAGCAGGCCAGGCCATTGTCATCACAGTCCTGTGTCAGAGGGAAGAGGCCCAGGGCCCAGGCCACATGGGTCTGCCAGCCAGGACCTTGGCTGGTGAGCACACAGCCTGGGTCTGAGTCGTCACCTTCATACCCGGGTGACTCTCTGACACCTAAATGTTTGTGTTTTCAATTTTTAAAGTTGTTGTCCACTTGAATCCTTGAGCTTCTTGAGGGCACTGACTCTTACTCATCTCTGTGCCCAATGGCTGGAGTGTAGGGACAGAGCCACCATACCTGCTGTATGTTGTCACGTTGCCCCAGCATGGGGACAACCCAATGTCCAAGAAGGGACAGGTGATTCACACAACGTGGCCTGTCCATACAGTGGAATGTTCTTCTACTATAGGAAAGAGGAACGTGCTGACACGTGCTAGGCATGGATGGACCTTGACAACGTGGTGCTGAGTGAATGAAGCCAGTCACAAGAGGCCACATGTGTAATTCCATTCATATGAAATGTCCAGAACCCGCAGATCCACAGAGACAGAACGCAGATTGCTGGTTGCCAGGGGCTGAAAGGGTTGGGGGTAATGGGGTAATGGGTACAGTTTGTTTTTGGGGTGATGAAAATGTTCTGGAATTAGATGGTGGTGATGGTTACCCAACTCTGTGAATATAATAAAACTCACAGAATTGTACACTTTAAAAGGGTAAATTTTAGGGTATGTGAATTACATTTCAGTAAAGTAGACCCCCCAAAACAAACCAAAACAAAAAAACACTTGTTGAGTGAATGACTGAATGGGGGACTAAGCGTGCCATTTTCGTTTGTGTACGTGTGCAGATATGCTCTCACATGTCCCAGGAGAGGTACTGTGATGAGGGACTTAAGAGCTGAACTGAGTGGACTCTCTTCTCAAGGATCTGCACTGCCGTGAGGCTGTGCTGTGTTGGGTGCGTGAGCAGGGCCGTGGCCTTCCTGTCTAGGTTCCTGAGGCCCCAGAGAGGGCCCAGCCGGCCGGCTCCACTGCGTGGGATGCTGGCCCGGAAATGCCCTCCCCTCTTTTTACCTTTCTGATTTCTATTGTGAACACAGAACAGAGTGGGAGGTTCTCCATCGTGGTTCTTCCAGCCACACACCTTAGTGGGAGTCAGGAGTTGTGTCGGGCTGCCAGCGAGGAAACGGTAGAAACGCGAGTGTCAGGTGTGCCTGTGAGAGCGCAGAGCTGTCTTCCTTTGTGGGGGCAGTTAGGGACATGGGCCCTTGGACCACGTCCTGGCCCCACCGCGTACCAGGTTGCAGCTGGGCCATGTCCCTTGTTTCTCAGCACCTCATTTTCTAAGGGGTACAGTGGTAGTGACAATAGAGTTGTGACAACGGTTAAATGAATGAGTACATTTGAAACATGTAGAAGAGTGCCTGGCCTATAATAACCACTCAGTAAATGTTAGCAGTTATTATTATTATAAGTATTGTCATTTTCACCCCCTTGAAATTTCCTACATATATTCTGGGCTAAAATGTTTCTTTTCTTAAAGAACATTTTCCTTGCAGAGATGCCATGCACATTTGCAAAATAAAGCAAAAGTAAATAAAAAAGATAGGATACACAATTTTCTAAACATTTATGAATGTTAAGCTGGATGATAGCAGTTCTTGTAAGGATCTAAAATTAGTTTATTCAAATATCTGGTAAGCCATTTCAATTAGGTGTCTGTTTTGCATTTTAAAACTTGTAAGTTATGTTTTCTCATTCGGTTTCTTCTACTTGAAGAAGGAAGTTATTTATAGCACCATTGCCTGTTCTTTTTTTCAAACACATCTGTGTTCCTGCTTTCCTGGGTATTTGCTCATCCCGTAGAAGTATTTACCCAGTGTAGTTTTGGAGTCCCTAACCTTGGAAACAGGTTTTTAGAGGGATTATTACTGAATGAATAGATGAATATATTAGAAACAGAATTTTAAAAATCTTTTGAAAAAACTTTCAGGTCTCTCTTAGGAATAAGTAATATATTTTAGGTTCTCTCTTCTTAGCATGCAAAATGCCTGAGAAGCAATCATTTACAATATATTATGTTAATTAATCAGAGAAGATTAAGAATATTAATTATCTGCAACTAATTAGGTATTAAACTTGAGAACCATTGAGTGATGAGGGGGAAGAGTGCATGAGTCTTCTAGTTAGAGCAAGGAAAATGGGACTGAGAGAGGTCTGACACAGCGTGGGGGTCTCTCTTCAGTCGCTCCGCCCTGTGTTGTTGATTCTGTGGGTTAACTGCTCGCTGTCTTTTCCATGCTCCGCGGCACACAGAGCAAGAGGACGTGGACGCTGCCGACGTCTCCCGCGTGCCTGCAGAAGTGCTGCGCAACGTGGAGGCTGACACGTACTGGTGCATGAGCAAGCTGCTCGATGGCATTCAGGTGAGCCCCTCTGGCACCGACTCCAGGGGGATGTGATTCTGCGTCGAACATCAGTTTTGTGAAGAGCGTGGGGCCTGATGCCACAGACCTGCTTCTGAATCTCGGCTCCACCACATACTACCTTCTGAAGCCTCCGTTTCTACATCTGGAGTAGTACCTACTCCTCAGGGTTGACTAGTGTGAGAAATACCGTGTGTGGGGGTGTGCACATGTGTGGGCCCTTGTTCAGGGGACAGTGGTGGTGTCCTGCTGAGGGTTCCAGCGGGAGGGTGTGGTGCAGGGCTCCGAGGGAGTGGGGTTCTGCTCTACGGAGTCTGATCCCCACAGTTTCCGATCTCCCCAGCTCTGCTGCCTGCAACTCCAAGTGGTACCAGCACCAAATGTGGGCTGTTGACAAGCTGTTGCCCGTGGGTGGCAAACTGTATTCAGAGGAATCTGCCCCTTAAAGGGCATCAGATTTAGGCCCTCAGCCTCTCATCAGTAACACAAGGCCTGTGACCAGATGGCCTCACAGCCCCTGCAGGTCCTGGGCCGGGGGTCTGACTGCTGGTTCCAGAGAGCAGCACGAGCTGGAGGGAGTCCTGCTCTTCTGGCTGGATTTGTCGTCAGTGGGGCTGGTGCCTGGGATTTTCACAGAAGAGCCACAGGTCTCCCAGCGCCAGGGATGATTTGATGGAAGCAGTTTGGGGGAAGAATCCTACTCAGAGCCTGGGAAGGATGTTGTTGGCAGGTAGAGGGCGGGAAGGAGGACTGAAGCCTCTTGATGTAGCAGGAAATCACGAGGAAGATGGACGGCCCTCAAGTGGGTGTGGGCCATTTTAGGCGCATCTTACGCCAATACATCTTTCCCAGATGCCTGCTTTGTGCCAAGTGCTGCGTTCCACACTGGGGAAGGAGGGGGAAGTAGGGCGACAGGCCCCGCGAGGAGCTGGGCGTGGGATGGAGGTAGATGCGTAAGGGTGGCTTTATGAGGCATAAGACGTGTGCTCCCTAGGACCCGTATGTGGGATAAAGTGAGACGTGGAGGAGGGACGATGAATTTTGCTTACAGGAGGGTAAAAAGCCCAGAGCAGGGTTGTGGTCGATGGAAGTTTTCTGAGGGACCACACGTCCAAGGTTCATTCTGGTCGTTCATTTGCAGACAGTCCTTTGTAAAGATGGCTGCCACAGGGATGGAGGCTGTGCGGGCATCTGTGCGTTCTGCCAGGATCCCTTTTGTCCCAGGTAGAAGAGGGGCCCTGCCACCTGAAGAGAGAGGAGATGTGACGGGGTTGCACTTGTCACATGCGTTTCCCATCAGGGTTTGGCTTTTCCTGAGCCATTGTCATAGCTCGTTCCTGATGCCACTGACTGGAGAGACTCAGCTAAGTGACTTGATTTGAGCTGGTTCTAGTGAGGCTTTTATATGATGTGGTCTGAAGATTTAGGCCCTGAGGTTTAATTTGAATAAATGAGCTAGAAAGATTGTATTGACAGAAACGGTGTGGGCTCACATTACTTCTGATAACTTAGGAATTGACAAAGAGCAAGTATAAAAGCCCTTCCTGTAATTGAAGCCTGGAAACCTTGTATCTGAAACCTGATCCAGACCTCCTTGTGACTGATTTTGTATTTTGTAAAGAAAAATGTGCCCGCTAGGGACATAATTCGGCCCATGTATCAATTCATCATTTCACTGCTTTGTTAATATTTTCATATTTTTTAGTCTTTCTCGTAAAACTTAAGACTTTTTTCTCCCTTAGAAAAGAGATTGAATCATAATGTGAAACTTTATAAATTTCAAATGTCACTTCTCTGATCACACGAGTGATGGAACTTCTGCCGTTTAAATACAAGATTATCTGCCTTCTATTTGTAAATAAAATCAGCTGTACAGTGAAATCGATGCTAGCTTTTCATTTTTCACCTGAGATTTGTTGTCTGATGAAACGGTTCCTTGACAAGGGTGAGGTGTGTAAGGCCGGTGCTTTTCTGGTGCTTGTGTGTGCAGCACACAGCAGGCCAGCCGTAGCCATCCATCTTTCTCTGACGTGGTTGCGATTGACTCCACGTGATCCTTGTGTGAGCAAGTGCTCAGGGATACCAGTTACCACCATCTGGGGGACTTGGGGAGATTGTAATTCCCTTAGATAGGGCCATCCCCGGTAACCCCGGGCGAGCTCTTCTGGGGGACTTTTTTAGTGTGTGCAAGTACTGCAGCCATTTTAAGTTTGAATAAGTGTGAGGATATGAACTGATTTAAAATCAAGAGGAGAAATGGACTGGGATGTCGGTATCCTGAGGAACTGGATGCTTCTGTCCTGATTGTTCGCTGCTTCTGTGTTTTAGCTCACTTCCCTCCTCCTGGTCTCAACCCTCTCCTCTCCATTCTTCTTAGAACTGCAATAACGATCTTCCTTAAGCACCCTTTTCATCACATCATTGCTCTGATTGAAAACCTTTGAAAAAACCTGTTTTTGGTTTTGTTAAGTGTAAACACTTAGCCTGGCCTTCACCAGTTGTTCCCTGCCTTTTGTGAAGTTCAGGTTTATTTATCATGTTATGTTAACCGTCCACACCTTTGCCAAAGAGGCTTCAGGGAGTCAGAGTCGCTGGGCCGAGGCTCTGCGCAGTGGCCCTCCTCACGAGGAGTGGCAGGGCTTCTCAGGGCTGGTAGGTAGTAACAGCGGGGAGGAGGGTGAGGAAGTGGCACCCAGCCTGTCTTGAGTGTCTCCAGCCAGTCGGTGCCTCCAGACGGTGGTTCATCCTCACAGCGGGGCAGACGTTACACCCGTGCACACCAGAGGTGAGCCACGTGCCCAGGCTTGTGCTGGGACCCACATTTGATCCCTGAAGCCTGTGATTTCTACTCTGCTTTATGACCATCTCCAGCTAAAATAAGTAGAAATGAGTTCCATTTTGCTGGAGAGGTTCTAGAGGGCAGAAACCACATCTATTCATTTTTCTTGCCCTCGAATATCCTGGGTAGGAGCAGTGGTGTTTTTGGTTCACTTGGGGCCTCCTCTGAGGCTCTGCCTTGTGCGTGTGGCCAGAGTGTGGTGAGCACCTGCCATCTCCAGGCGCTGCATGCCAGTCGCAGGACGTGGGTGCGCATGAGTCACCATCCCCTGCTGTCCCCGAGGGGCTCACAGCCTGGTGGCAGGAGTGGGAGAGAGGACTGCCATGGAGGGCAGATGCTGGGAGAGGGGGCTCTGGTTCAGGGAGGTGGCAAACTGGGAAAAAGAACAAGCTGCCCCCTCCCACCCAATGCCTGGAAGCCTGGGTGATGTTGAATAGGAGTTGTCTACAGTGCGTGGCTGGGCTCCTTAATGAGGGAGCCCTCAGAAATGAAGAGAGATGAACCCCCTAGCTCCCGTGAATTTGAGGGCAGTTGTCAGACACAGTAATGGCTAAGAGTTAGGTTTTACTGCCCTGGTGAGGTGGAAAAACAGGATAAAAGCAGGTCCTGGGGAAATCTAAGTGCTATCCAGAAACAAAGTGAAATGGTTCTACAGTTGAGGTTCTCTGCCTTCATGTCTCAGGACTGCTTTACCTTCTTATGAAGTATTGAGGAGCTCAGAGAGCTTTTGCTTATTTGTGTTATTACTATTGATATTTACTATATTAGAAACTCAAACTGAGATATTTAAAAATATTTAGTAATTCATTTTAAAACAATGATAAACTCATATATGCTATTATAAGTAACGTATTTATGTGATAAATTAATACTTTTCCAAAACAAAAATATTTAGAGAGAAGAAAGACTTTGTTTTACTTTTTTGCAAAACTCTTTAATTTCTGACTTAGACAGCTGAATCTCACATATGCTTCTACATTCAGTCTGTTGTAATACGGTTTTTTGGTTGGAGTGTGGTGAAGAAAAACCAGCCTCACACAGGTGTGTAATTGGAGAAGGGAGGAGTGTTTTAATAACCCTTTCAGATAATTGTAGATGTTTTCTCTTTAATACTAACCACAACTTAACAAACGGTGGTTTCTTGAAGGTCAGTTGTGACGTGAAATCTGAAGCCTCATCAGTGAACGCTTTGTACTCAGTTACATTAAGATCCATCAGCCGTCTTGCACTTTGAATGGATCATTTATATGTGCATGGTTCTGTACCATCAGACATTGGTCATCTGGAAGGTATTGGATGACTGAGGCATGCAGATCTTTAAATATTCACAAATTTCATCATACAGTATCAAAAAATCACATTTGTTAATATTGCCACCATCTCATAAGAGGAAGCTGTCAAAACCAGAGTGGCAGATAAGAGTTCTCCAAAATTCAAATTTTGGCTTAAAAGTTCAAATATTATTATTGGCAACAAATACCGTTAATTGTGTTCCTTGAAGTGACAGGCTAACTTTGTTCATTTTTGAGAAAATGTTTGCCAGATACCCAAGTTTGAATATTAGTTTGCCTGTTAGTCATTCTTGCAAGTAAAAATGATGTTTCTTGAAAAATGTATCTAATTCAGCTCACAGCTCAAACAGTCACACCAAGTGCTTTTCTGGAAGAAATCACTGTTTTTTGGTACATCTCAAATGCTTTGTGTGTTCTTCCTGTTTTACCACAGAGAATATTGAAAAGATGTTTACTCAAGGGTTGAGATTTAACATGATATTAATCATAAAATTAGGAACTTTTCCTCCTTCATCAAGGACATCCTTAAGTGAAATGCCCTTTTTTTAGCTGTCAGTGTGTGGCATTGAGAATACAGTTTGGGGGCCGGCCCCATGGCTTAGCGGTTAAGTGCGCGCGCTCCGCTACTGGCGGCCTGGGTTCAGATCCTGGGCGTGCACTGACGCACCGCTTCTCCGGCCATGCTGGGGCCGCGTCCCACATACAGCAACTGGAAGGATGTGCAGCTATGACATACAACTATCTACTAGGACTTTGGGGGGAACAATAAATAAATAAAATTATAAAAAAAAAAAAGAGAATACAGTTTGGTAGCACTGCTGTGATTCATGCCAGTGTGCCAGCATTTTCACTCACCATCACTTTTGTAT